CTCCAGAATTCCGGTTCTACTTCTGTACGTCCAGCCCTGCTTACACAGACTCTTTCTCTTGGACAAGCGTTCAATCTCTCTCAAGTGAGGTTACATTTTCCGTATTTTATTCGTTCTCATCTTACCAATATATATATATATATATATATATATATATATATAATTATTTATTTAAAAATTATAACATTAAAATATGTTATAAAATCACTACAAAAATAGCCATTTTGTTTCTACACCTCTGGTGTCTTATCAAGTGATGATGTTGAATTGTTGAATGTAGATTGTAGAACCTACAATCTACATTCAACATTATCACTTGATAAAACACCAGAGGTGTAGAAACAAAATGGCTATTTTTTAGTGTGATTTTATAACATATTCATGTTATAAATTTTAAATAAATAATTACTTTCGCTGTACTCTGTATTGAGCATTCTTTTTAAGAATATTAATAGTTGGTTATTGGTATTCATTCCGTATAAACCAATCATATACTTGGATATATATATATATATATATATATATATATATATATATATATATATATATATATATAAATTAATTTTTTAAAATATGTTTTTTTTCCGCTACACAGTTCTAACCTTGTTTCAAAAATGGAAGCTAAAAGCCACGAATTTAATTTTGCAATTAAATTAAAGACATTAGTTCCATTTCATCCTCAAGCGAAAATAAAACATATTTTAAATCAATTAATTTATAATATTAATGCTCTGTAAATTTACATTGAGCACTATTTTGTAAAAATAAAAATATCTATAAGAACACCGGATTATATATCTTACTATTCTTTCTTTTTATTTAAATACATACATACATATATATATATATATATATATATATATATATATATATATATATATATATATATAAAAGAGAGATAAAGGAATATATAATGATAAACTATCGTCAGCTTTGACTAGTTTCAATCAGTGTGTTAAGGTGTATGGGTGTGTCTGCCCAGAAGCGAGGAGAGTTTGACCATATTGACATATTTGTATATCTCTAAATTTAGCTGGCGTTTTCCTTGTCTCATCTGAAATCTGTCAATATCACTACAAGAGGAAAATCAAGAAGCTTTTTTTTATTTTGTTTTATGAAAAAAGCGCCATCGATTTAAGGACGTAGCCCCTCGTCCACATGCACGTACAATGTGTACATCACAACCTAAAAATACTGGAGCCATGTTCTTAAATAGCCTCGTCAAATCGAGACTTACATATGGATGTTATACGCGGCGCCAAACCGGTTCAGAAATATCAAAATTGTCTGCTGTACACAACCGCTTTCTCAGATCAATGACGGAAAATGGCTTTGAGTGTGTGAAGCCTGCGGGACTTGGCAAATACTATCTTTTTGTTTTCGAAACTTACGGGCTAGCACTATAGAATCCCAAACAAATAACTGTACCAAATAACTAGAGGACTTGACTTTCAACAGAAAGAACGACTAAAAATTGATATAACGTGTAATTCGAATAGAAAATAATGACGATGTACAGTACAGCAAACAAAAGGTTAGGAAAAGAAGCTCCCATCAGTACGAAAAGCGAGAGCATTAGCTAGACGTGAAAAACATAAATTTCTTTCAGAGGAGAGTCTGAATATTTCAACCTATAGTAACACTGTCAGCTCGGTCAACGAATGGCAAATGTTTCCATATAAGGAAACGGTTAATATTACCATTATCATTACCATAAAGGAGAGGGCGTAGATTGATGAGAGAAAGAGGGTGAGTGAGATGAGAGAGAGAGAGAGAGAGAAAGAGTGAAAATCACTGGAGTGAAAGAGAGACAGAGAGATAGAAAAAGGAACGCAGAAAGAGGAAGAGAGAGAGAAAGAAAGAGAGAGAAAGAGGGAGAGAGAAAAAGAGATAAAGTGATAGAGAGAGAAAGAGAGATACAAATAGAGAATGAAAGAGGGACAGAGAGAGGAAAAAGGGGCGCAGAATGAGAAAGAGAGAGGGAGAAAAAGAGAGAGAAAGAGATAGTGAGAGAAAGAGATAGAGAGAGAAATAGATAGAGAAAGAAAGATAGTGAAAGGGAGACAGAGAGATAGAGAAAGGCATACAGAAAGAGAGGAAGAGAAAGAAAGAGATAGTGACAGAAAGAGAAAGAGGGAGAAAGAGAGAGCGAAAGAGACAGAGAGAGAAAGAAATAGAAAGTGGGAGAGAAAGAGATAGAGAGAGAATGAGAAAAACAGAGAGAAAGAAGAGAGAAAGAGAGAGTGAAAGAGAGAGATAGAGAAAGGGACACGGAAAAAGAGAGAGAGATAGCGAATAAGATGAAGTTAATCGTAATGTAATTTATTTTTTAATAAATCAAATCGACATTCTAAAATATTAAAAAATTAATTTACTTTATTAAAAATAATTAAAAAAAAATCCTGGTACATATTTAACGTAATGCCATTTCAGATGCCTTATCTGAAGAAAAATATTCACTAATTAAAGTTTTAATCCTTAATAAATTACATTTATTCGGATATAAAGTTGATTTTTTTTTTGGTGCTGTGTTGTGTCGGTCCTGAGTTGTATCAGTCCTGAGTTGTCCCGGCTCTCACTCGGCGGCGCTGTGTTGTCTCGGTCCAGAGGTGTATCAGTCCTGAGTTGTCCCGGCTCTCACTCGGCGGCGCTGTGTTGTCTCGGTCCTGAGGTGTATCAGTCCTGAGTTGTCCCGGCTCTCACTCGGCGGCGCTGTGTTGTCTCGGTCCTGAGGTGTATCAGTCCTGAGTTGTCCCGGCTCTCACTCGGCGGCGCTGTGTTGTCTCGGTCCTGAGGTGTATCAGTCCTGAGTTGTCCCGGCTCTCACTCGGCGGCGCTGTGTTGTCTCGGTCCCTGAGGTCCAGCTCTCACTCGGCGGCGCTGTGTTGTCTCGGTCCTGATCAGTCCTGAGTTGTCCCGGCTCTCACTCGGCGGCGCTGTGTTGTCTCGGTCCTGAGTTGTATCAGTCCTGAGTTGTCACGGCTCTCATTCGGCGGCGCTGTGTTGTCTCGGTCCTGAGTTGTATCAGTCCTGAGTTGTCACGGCCCTCATTCGGCAGTGTTGAATTGTCCCTTGCCGTTTCTCGGTGAACCAAAAGTTAAGAGGCTTTTTCAATTGGACAGCTTTGATCGGAAGAGATTACCGACGAAAAAAAAAATATTTAAAAATTGCAAAATGATGAACTATAAACTTTTAGAGAGATTTCGTAAGTTTTCCTTGATAGCGAGCTGTTCTTTTTCTCTTCTGTTTTATTTATATCCCCACAAAAAGTGCAGTTAAACGTTGCAAAAGTTTCTTACAATATTTTGGCTTTTGGTATATTAAAACGCGACAGCAGTCTATTAGACAGAAGTAAAAAAATCTCATGAACAGAACCATGCATGCCGAGTTGAAAAAATATACCAAAGAGTAACTTTTCTTCAAGATTCTTTAGACAGGAAGAAGAAAATTCAATACTCGAAGTGCATTCCAGAAGTTTTGAGATTTTTGTTTTTACAGTAGGATTTATAACTGTCCTAGAATGTTCTAATTATCATACATCATTACTGTACATCCAATAAGCTGACTTGTCAAATTCTGTTATTCCAGTTTAAATCAGACTAATGTAACAGATGAAAACATCCTATTAAACACTACTTGTTACAAATTATTAGTTTGCAGAATGCAATAGGGTCTTGAAGACTATTTGGAAACTTGCTACTAGTGTGTTGATAGAGCTGAGCATCAAAACTATCCCGCAACTTCCTTACAGTCCTGAAATTGCTTCCTGTGAATTTTGGTTGTTCCCGAAGTTGAAGAAGAACCAAGGGGGCAGCCAATTTGAAGTGTTTACGAAGATGAAGGATTTCGGTGTCCCATTTTCCATCCTCATCTTTCGAGGTATTTCAGTCTTTTCTCTTGTTTAATTAAGGTATCTCCGATTTTTAAATCGCATGGTGGCAGTTCCTTTTGCTAACAATCATACATTGTCTTTTTTTTTTTTTTACAATTGATGTGTCATCCTTTCTTCTCTCCTTCCTTTACTAACTTGTGTAGGAGTTCATATAATTTCTTTTCTGTATTTTTTAACGACACTGTCAGCCTCATGTTTGTTGTTGTTATCCGAAATGTTGTGATAATAGCAACAACAAAGATGGGGACAATAGTCAGGATTTAAATAATGACAATCCTTACCTGCAAATTTCAGATGGTATGGGGCTGATATGATAGACCAATGGAACGAAACGGAGTAATAACAAGTGTGAGGATAATAGTCTACATGTTATGAATGTATATAATAATAATAATAATAATAATAATAATAATAATAATAATAATTATAGCTCCTCATCCCAGAAATTCAGACAGAAGATATATTGCAATATTTACATTGCCCGGACGGATGAGCTATGAAGGAAAGTGAAACAGATACTAGATAAATCCAAACGACACAAATCAAATATCACACAACTGGAGAGGTTGGCAATCAGAATCCTACAGAGGAATGAAAACATCATACTACCAGCTGACAAAGGCAATGCGACTCTAATGATGAACAAATCGGAATATACAGGAGACCTGGAAAACCTTATTAGAAATGGTAGCTACAGTAAAGTAACGAAAGATCCAACAATGAAAACAACGAAAACTGTCGCAGATTGTAATCAGAAACAATGACAATTTTCCACTTAAGAGATACAAGTAGTTGTCACAGCGTTACACCAAGTTACCTCACATATGTGGTCTCCCCAAAATTCACGAAGACGTTATCCCTCTCAGGCCAAAATACTAGCTACCACATATCAGTGTGGCCCCAACTCTATAGATATAATTGACACAATAATAGGAAAGTCACCTTCATATGTTCGAAACTCAACCAACTTTCGTGGAAAGAACCCGAGTCCCAAAACTTCATAGGATGTTGATAGAAGCATTGGTTGCGTCCAGTGATTTGATCAAAAGTGTTGTGAGTTCAGTACCTTCCTACTAGAGTGGTAAACAAAAACTTGGAAAGTTGAGTT